GACAATGACGCAACAAAGCAGAGGAAAGAGATCTGTTTTGATTTGAACGAAGCAGCCGAATTCGACTCTTCAAGCGATGTAACGGTCGAGCATGATCAAGAAGATCATAGTAACTTTGTTCACAAGCTAGTTGCTTTAGCAGACGATGCTATACTCTTTAGACCGGTCGATTTTAGTTCGATCAAGAGCAAAACCGCGGAATCGTTAAAGAAACGCTTCTCTAACGGTCTCGGGGGTGGGTTAACGGTAGAGATTGAAGACGATGCACTGGAGAGAGTCGCCGGTGCGATTTGGCTCAGCAAGATTAGCTTAGAAGAATGGCTTGAGGAAGCAATTGGTTCAAGCTTGAATAGCGCAAAAGCTCGAGTATCGTCTTTGGAAGATTCTGTGATTAGGATTGAGCTTGAAGATGACTTGAGTGATCGAATCTCCGGAGGATATCTTCCGAGTAGTATCAGAACGGTGGTCGTTTGATTTATTTTTGTTTTTCCGGTGAGGGGTAGATTCGTAATTATGATAATTGGTGAGGGTAAAGATGTAAATATTATGAATGATGTCTCCGGACCGTCTTTTGGCGGGATGGGAAAGAGTTCGGTAAAAACATTAAACAGTTAAAAGAAATAATTCAAAATCAACGGTTATATTATCAAAATCAACGGCTGAGAATAATTCATGTAGAAAGTGAATACTTCCATAAAAAGAAAAGGAGGAATCTTCAAAAACAAAATAATGAAATTGATTAAAAGTAAAGGTTTTTATGAGGAGATAGTGGAATTTTTATTTTATTCTTTGATTATTCTTTCGTATGTTTCTTCTTGGAGTTTTATGGAATATATTAGTCTTGTTAGCAGATCGAATTATTTTTTTAATAAACTATAGTGTTATATACTTTTGTAATATTCAGGGGACATTTATTTCAGTAGAAAGTTGTACTTTTAAAATATTAGGTGGTTCGGCTAGTATGTGGCTTGTCTTTATTTCACCTTTTTAGAATGAAAGCAGCAAATCCAACCACTCTCTGGACCAAATTTTTTATTATAAATTCCTTCGCCATACATCAGACCAATAACTCAGTGCAATTAAATAACATTATTTTCATTTGATTTTTCTTCATTAATAAATGGAATATATCTCCATCGACCGATACTAATATCCGAAATTTGTAAAACACCATATACTCACGTAAAAGTTGAAAAAAATGTATATGTATTTGGATATATTGATATTTTTTTTTTTGAAACAAATTTGGATATATTGATATTTCTATTCGAAATACTGATATCTGGATATATTGATATTTAAAACAATAATATATTGAGTTTTATTCGGTCAATACGCCATTTAGAAACACATGATTTCAAAATAAAGTTGAAAATTACCAAACCGGTTTTGACCAAAACGTGTTTCAAAATTCAAAATGTAAAGCGATCGGACCACGCCATGATCGGTCCATTTTTGCTCCTAGAGGTCATACTTTGATTTATCATTTATGACCATTAATTCAAAGCATCAACCTACAAACCGGTCAACTACCGATCATAAATTTAAACCTAACTAACGTATGAATCATAAGAAACGACTAGGACACTTTGTCTAGTGATCTATTCTAATATTTTCATATTCAATTTAGTCTGCTACGTCTAATCTAAAATGATATCATGTACATTCACAATTTAATTGTATGTAATCACGAACTATTTTTAACCGTTTTTTGGTCTAGCGATTTATTTTAGTAGCTAATACTATGAAAGGAGTAGTCACAATCTCTTTCATATAGAGGAAGTTGATTTCTTATATATGTACTGGATATCTACCACTTAACAAGGAC